TGTTTAAGTCCATAAATAGCCTTCTTAAGTCTACAGACCTTCTCACCCTCCCCCTGAGCAACAAACCCTGGTGGTTGCTCCATGTACACCTCCTCAAGAAGATCACCATGTAAAAAGGCGTTCTTGATGTCAATCTGAAACAAGGGCCAATCAAACATAGCAGCAAGAGAAATCAGAACACGAACTGACCCAATTTTGGCAACCGGAGAGGTGTCTATGTAATCAATACCATATTGCTGTGAATAACCTTTGGCAACTAACTGAGCTTTCAACCATTCAACACTTTCAATCAGTAAGTATTTAACTGTGTACACCCACTTACAGCCGACCACATGCTTACCGGGAGGAAGAGTGGTGAGGTCCCACGTATGAGTACGAGTCAGGGCCGAGAGTTCTTCCATTGCTTGGCGCCACCCTAGAGAATTGAGGGCTTCCTGGACATCCTTGGGAACATAGACAGAGGATAACATAGAAACAAGCTGTCGATGAGAAGCCGAAAGGTGAGATACAGAAACATAATTGGAAATGGAATGGAGAGTGCAACTGCGTTTACCTTTCCGCAAAGCAATAGGAAGATCAAGGTCAGAACTTGGAGTTGGGGCTGGGGTGGGATCAATTGCCAGATCTATCGACGGTGACAAAGCTAGGGGAGGAGTCGATGCCTGACGATGTGTATACACTTGCCGGATAGGTGGTCCTCTCTCAGGTATTTGCATTGGAGGCGGAGACTAGGTCACGACTGGAACAAGAGGAATGGGATCCTCAACAGGAACTGGAAGAGGGGGTGATGGCAATAGAGGAGAAGTATCTGACCTGGAGAAGAAAGGAACAAACTCAAAAAATGTAACATCAGAACACACAAAAGAACGCCGAGAACGAGGGTTATAACACTTATACCCTTTTTGAGTCTTGGAATAGCCAAGAAGGACACACTTAGTGGATCTAGCATCTAACTTGTCCATTCCAGGCCCAAGATTATGAACAAAACTCACGCATCCAAAAACTCTGGGAGTAAGGGGAAAAGGAGACAACGTGGGAAATAGAACAAAGAAAGGGGACTAACCTTCAAGGATAGTCGTGGGTATGCGGTTAATAAGAAAGCAAGATGTAAGTACAGCATCACTCCAAAAGGGTTTGGGGACATTCATCTGATGTAAGAGGGACCGAGTAGTTTCCAAAAGGTGACG